TTAATTATTATTATTATCAAATTTAATTATTATTATTATTATTAATTATTATAATAATATTGTTAAATAATAACAGCGATAATCGTTGTTATTATTACTATTATTATTATTATTATTATTATTATTGTCATTACTTATTACTAATTATTAACAATTATTATTCGAACAACATTGTAATTAGCATCGATTTAAAAATGATCATAATTTTCTTTAAACGCTATCATCATTAATCACTTCAGATGTTTCCACGATTAACTTGTCATTTTATTTATCAAACATTATTTACTTCTTTGCCTAATATGTTCACAATCTTTATGCTCATTTAGCTTTCAAAAATATTTAACAGCTTTGGTAAAGTAAAAAAGAGTATGGCGAAATGAGTAAGAGTTCTAGTTGCAACTGACTGAACCCTTTCTTCTTTTTTTAACGAATTTTCCAGTACCGACATATTGCTCTATTTGTGTTGTTGATAGACTTCCGTGCTATACTTCGCTTATTATACTTGATAACTCTGGTGAAAAGCGATACTTTGATTGCATTCTCCCATTCCCATGATATAAATTGTCCAATTTTTGAATTCAACATCCATCTTCTGCTAGCTCATACAGTTGTCATTTGCCAGGTTGAACATGCGATCGAAGTTTGCATCAATTATTTCGTGCTTCTTAGAGTTTGCATTTTAAAGATGGAAATAAGAGAAATGTTGAATAGTAGTTTAGTTTCAACTGTCGAATTAAGCAGAACAAATCATGAAAATATTTAAAACTGTCTGATTTAAATAAATTACAAATATTAATGGATTTTTATTTTGTGTAGTCTGATTCTTGAAGGGATTACTTCAATTTTACCGAAATATCACTATTTAAAATAACAAAATTGATTGATATGAAGAGATTCGATGAAGTCACAAGGAATAATAGATATTTCACTTTTGTAGATAAGGTAACAAAGCATTTATTGATTGTGCATTCTTAAGAAAGCAATAAAATGATTTTCGCAAATTTTATTTAGCAGTAATTTTTCTTTTTTTTCTAAATCCAAAACTTTTATAGCCGTTACTTTTATTTTTGTTTATTCAAACATGTCATACGTAAAATATAGCATTTCAATGTCCTCTTCATAATAATAGGCTTTTTCACGGTTGTCTTCTGTGAAGTGTCATTTGCAGTCAAAATTTTCTAAAAACCTCTCAATAATTCATTTTCCTTCTTCACTCTCACTGAATCACTTCGTGGATAACCGTTAATAGCTTAAAGAAAGCATTTACCTTCAACTGAAGAAGAAGGATCTGATCGTCTTATGAGACATTTAATTCTTTTTTTTTTTTTTTGTCATAATCTGTTGGATCTAGTTTTCTCGTCTTGTCTGCTCTGCTTGATCTCACCCAGACCTGATTGAGCTCAGCGCTTGATATCCCTTGTTTCGGGCTAATGTCAACCAATTTTTGCAAATCATTCGTAAAATCTATTTTTAAAAGCAGTAACTAAGATTTCAGATCGTGTTTCAGCTAAATATTGGTTGGAAAAGATGACATCCTCAGAGAGTTCAAATTGTGAGAGATTTTTCTTATTTCTCTGGACTTAAGTTTGTGATTGCAAGAAAAATCCTTAATTTCAAAAGCTTGTCTGCTCTCGATGGGTATCGAGAACAGATAGACCTCTGAAGTTTAAGAGCCTTTCTTTTAATCAGAGGCTAGGATGTCCAGTCCCTATCCAATCCCACGACATTTTTTACTTAAAATCATTTTCCCACTCCTTTTAAAGATTCATCATCAAATGGAAGTTTCTCCGGACAAATAGATCCATCCAATCCTAACACCATTAAAGCCTTGTAGGTTGGATTCTCTCTGATTGTGACGAGTTAGTTTAATTTTCTGAATACAGTTCATCTAACCACAGTTTGTCTTCATTTGACAATAAAGGGGAAAAAATGAAGATTTAAGAATTTTCGGTAATTTTTAAAGAAATACTGATAAATTTATTTTCTTCGGATGCTTGTTATCATGAATATCTTCTACAACTTCAAAGCATAAACGGTGTTTTTTTAAATCTGGAAATATTTACACGACAATCAAGTTGAATCTTCTTTTTTTCTCTTTGCACTTCAAGGTTTGACTACTTAAAAGAAATTGTATGTCTAAAAAAAACTAATTATCTCTGTTATGCATAAATTATCAGGATGGTAATTTATGAGGTTAGCATAGATAACTCACTTTGTTAATCTCTTCTCCGGGAAACTGTATTTCAAAGATAATGGATTTCTCATCTTTTCAGCACATGAATAAATCTTTTTGAGTGGGAAGGAAACGTCTTTAAAAAAATTGATTAATCCAATAAAGTATAATCAGGACCTAAGCTAATTATTGTTTCGTTATAAAATTTCTTACGAATATTTCGAGTTCCTTCTCTCCTTCTCCTTTTTGCTTCCTTTTTTTTTCTTCATTATTTACATATGAAATTAATAATATAAACCATAACAGCAATTCTAAGGTGATTTAAAAAATGTCCGCATTGTTTTTTGTTTTCCCAAAACCATATTCTCATTTTTGTAAATCCAGTAAGTTTAATTAAACCCACTTCTTACATTAATCAAATCAACTAGTTGTACAATTTTTGTTGTGTAATGACTAGATATTTCTGAATTTTATACTATCATTTGGTATCCGTGGTTGATACAAGCTTATCAATCCGCTCAGCATTTGGTACTTGATAGCGAATAAATGCGCAAAGTTTCTGTATCTGTCTTTCTGCATTAAGTAAAAGTATAAATATTGCTATTTTTTTATGTGTATCATAATGACAATAGTGGTTTGAATATAATATCCAATCATATGAATGTTGTTTTTCAAGTAAAGCAAAACTGCGAGAGTAATTTTAAGCCAGAAAAATGATGACAGCCATCTTACATCATTTCAAATAATTTATTGGTGTAATTGCTGTTGCTGCAAATCACTTCTCTTATTTGCACTTTTTTTTCTGTCAAATCATAAGCATACCGTTGTTACTGATTCGCTAAACGTTTAAGAAGCTGAACTAACCTTATTTATGACCACATTTTAAAAAATTTCAAATTAGTGGTTAAGATCAAAAAATAAAAAGAAGGATTTGAAGGAGAAGAAAAAGAAAAAGAAGAAAAAAGAAGGAAAAATTTTATCCAATTTCAGCATTTCAAGATGAAGCTATTTTTACAGATATTATTCTTAACTCTTCATCTGGATACTTTGACATTTACAATTTCAAATTAAATTGAAATATTGTTCAAAATAAATATATTATTTCAATGTCATCAATGAACATGCGAAATTTTGCACATTAAAAAAGAACATTTTACTGTATGCTTATCGAAGATAAAATGTTAGCATAGTTCTGATACATTGTTGTTTGACTAATATCTGATAAAAAATCTATTTTTTTTGAAAAATCCAACTTTTTTCTGACCTTAATTGAACCACATTTTGTACAAACTACCTTAATGGATTTCAATCACCAAACCATATTTTAATTTGCTATTCTTACTTTGTTCTTGATTATTAACTTTAAAAGATGTATTCTCTTTCTCGCTGCAATTCACCTATTGTAAGTTCAGATTTGTTTTAATTTGCTTTAACCATATTTTCTTAGCATGAACAAATACGGATGGTCTGATTAGCATATGGCAAACAGTTCATTCATTAAAAAAAAAAAAAACTCTATTATTCTAGGATAACCATTGTGGTGAGTCATTTCATCGTAGAATGCGTGAAACACTCTATGATAGAATTATATTTCAACAATTAACGTTTGCAGTAAAATTTTGGAATAAAAAAAGTTAGCAACCACAGGGATCGACATTAATATGGCAGTAGCGCTTGCTGAATTAATTTACAAATACCGGCATAACCGGAAGATGTTATTATTCATTGTGTACATTGCTTTATTTTTGGATAATATGCTTCTCACTACCGTTGGTATGTTCATATCATTTCAAACAACAATAAGAACTTTCAACAAATTATCAAAAATTTAAACTTTAATTTAAGGCAAACTTTTAGTCTTTTGCAGATATAACAAGCCATTTTTATCAATATTCTGTATAAGGAAAAGGCTTTTGTTTTTAATTTTGATGATTTCATGACTTTTTTTTCCTTTATTGCAGTACCAATAATACCAGAATATCTTTTACGATTATCACATCCAAATTCAACAGATTTACTGCTATACAATAAAATACCGATAACAGCGCATTCAAGAGGCAAACGTGCTGCTTTTACGGAAAATGAAAAAGGGACACAGGAAACGGGGAATGAACAACAACCGTTCATTTGGGATGATGCTTGGGAAATTCCAATGGATATGCATGTAGCAACAGAATGGCAAAAAAGTCCACTAAATCCATTTCGTAAAAACAAAATTTTAAGGAAAAAACCATCCGAGAAAGGTTGGATGATTGAAAGAGTTGTTGGAGAAGTTTAAATCATAATTTCAATTGTAATTTTTACTTTATTAGAATTGAAATTTGACAACAAATTTGAGTTCTATAATAGCACATGAATTTTTATCAGGTAAAACTTCTGGGACAGTTGTGCATATGGAAACAATAACAACAGAAGCATCTATTACAAATGAAAATACAAAATTGGATCAAAGAGTTATGCCAAATACTGCGGAAGAAATAAGACGACACAATACTTTAGCCGAAGAAAATGTTTACGTGGGATTGATGTTTGGATCAAAAGCACTTGTACAACTGTTAACAAATCCATGGATTGGTCCTCTTACAAATAAGTTAGTTTTTAAGGAATATTTCTTGATAACATCTGTCAGTAACAGGATTAGTTATCATAACCTTTCTAACATTACAACATCAAATTTAGGCATATTTGTTTAAATCAATTGATAAATCAGTTGATGAAACAACTTTTATCAGGTAAGTAACAAAGTGCAACGATAATTTATTTCCCCGAAATCCGTGAAAAAAAAAAAGAGAAGAACTTTTATAAATTTTCTTGTCATTCGTTGTTTGTACAAATTGCAGAATTGGCTACACAGTGCCAATGTTTACTGGCTTTTGTGTTATGTTTTTATCAACCGTAATGTTTACATTTGGCACATCCTTCGCTGTACTTTGGCTTGCTCGTGCTTTACAAGGTGTTGGATCTGCATGTACAAGCACTTCAGGTTTGCTAAAGTTACATTCAACATGGCCGGAAATCTTTATTATAATCCTCTAGAAGAAAGCATGCTATTTGAAAGTTAATAAATTCCCGCTTTCATCATATGGATAATGATTATATTAATGAAGAAAAAAAAAAAAAAGCACTTTTCATCCTGAATATTTAATTTTATCTAACAGGAATGGGAATGCTTGCGCAAGCTTATCCAAACGATGAAGAACGCGGTAGTGCTATGGGTATAGCATTAGGCGGTCTGGCACTTGGTCTACTTGTTGGACCACCATATGGTGGAGTTTTATACCAGTGGTCAGGCAAGGAGTTACCATTCCTACTCCTTGCGCTATTAGCTCTATTTGACGGCTGTAAGTATTATTTAATAAAAAACTAAAATAAGCATAATAAGCAAATAACTGAAAATAAAAAAAGATTGTTTTTTGATATGCTAATAAGAGTAGATAAATGAAGTTATAAGCAATAATTCTGAAATTTTAAGGATTTTCAAGGATAATGTCAGTTGAATAAGCTCAAAACTTATTTACTAGATTAATCAAACTTCTAGTAAAAAGAGAAAAAAACTTTTTGCATAAATATCAAAATACTTGAACCTGAAAAGCTAAAACGACATAGTTGTAGCCCTGCAATTTTTGGTGCTACAACCGCGAATAGATCGTGGTGAACCGGAAGGGACTGGCTTGAAAGAACTTGCAACTGATCCATATATTATTGTTGCTGCTGGTTATTATTTTTTCCGATTTTCAGCAGTTGCTGCTGTTGTTGTTGTTGTTGTTGTTGGATTTTCCGCGCAAGTCGGAAAAAGGATAAATGCTTACTAATCATTTTCAAATATTACTTCTCATTAATGTGCAACACATTTCAATATACCAAGCTTTTTTTTCCTTTTCTACAACATTATGGAATGTTTTCATTAATTTTCAGGATCAATAACAGTCGGAAATCTTGGGATAGCTATGCTGGAACCATCGTTACCATTATGGATGATGGAGTCTTGGCAAGCTAGTTCATTTGAACGTGGTATAGCTTTTCTTCCAGCTAGTATGTCTTACCTTATTGGCACGAATATATTTGGACCATTGGCACATAAAATCGGACGGTTTGTTTTTATTTTGAAGTAATTCGTAATAATTAGGATTTTTTTATTTAAACATGAATTGTTTAAAATTCTGTGATTCAAAAAAGAGTGTTAAATTCCTTCGATATATCAAGAAGTTTGAATTTCCAGTTGGTTGAGCAGTTTTCTTGGCCTCATGATAATCGGCGTTTGCTTAATTGCTGTAAGTTGTTTGATTGTATTGTTCAAAAAAAGTTTTTCAGTTTCATTGTTTTTTTTTTTAACAATTGATGGAGAATGCCTTTGAAATAATCCGCAAACAGGAATGGGAAGAATAGAGCAAGAAATTCAGGTACTAGATAAAAAGTTCCGGTAATAGGAAAAAATTTAGATAAAAACGAAAAATTCAGGAACTGTAACGTATGATATTTATTGGGTAGTGGCCTGAAGAAATTCTCCAACTGCGGTTTTATTGGTGGTGGATTTGAAATTAATAGATTTTGAGAAATTATTGTACACATTATTTTCGTATGTGAATCGTTACCTTGTGGTCTTCAGGTGATTGCAATAATTTTAGATTCCAAGAGCTCAAGGAGTTGGTGGATTGATGGTGCCAAATTTTTTCATGGGCTTCTCGATTGGTAAGATAATGATGTAAGATAAAGATAAAGACAAAACATTCATCTTGTACTAGTAATATGAGATGTCAACAAGTCATAGAAGTTGGAGGAATGCATTCAAGGTATGATTGACGCATCGATGTTTCCTTTGATGGGTCATCTGGTGGATATACGTCACGTCGGTGTTTATGGATCAATATATGCAATTGCAGATGCAGCATTTTGCTTTGCCTTTGCTTTGGGCCCGTTTTTTTCCGGTCCTCTGGTCCGTTCAGTCGGATTCGCTTCGTGGGTTTCTTAACCAACATTTACAGTTGTCACGATTAGCTGCAAATACACTCAAATGATTTACAATTTGCAATAATAGAAAGGCAAACACTAAAAAGATTTACAAGAAAAAAGTCTTTTTTTTAAATAAGAACAAATTCGAAGAACATTTTATTTGCATATATAAAATACATATAGATTAAACATTTTATTAAATTTTATTCATTTTACTTAACAGCTATAGCATTATTTCTGAAATTTCATTAATTAAAGAAACATTTATTACAGTATAACTATGAAGCAACAATAATAATTTTCAGAATGCTTCGTATAATTGCAGTGATAAACTTCCTGTATGCTCCTCTGATGCTATTTTTGCGTAATCCGCCAGCAACAAATAAAATCAACGAAGTATACATACCATTTTCATTTTTGAATTTTATTTGTTATCACTGATGATCGTTTTGAACGCCGTACCCAGTTCTTCTCTTGGAATCATATTATTTCAGTAGACGATGTCCCAGCCTTCTTAATCTATCTTTAGTTAACACTAGCTTATCATCTTTAGTGATTATAGGTTTATTAAAGCTTTCAAAATTAATGAAAGTACTGAAACTGAGTTCTACCAGGAAATTCTGGCAATCTCGCTTTGTTGATATGTATGCTTTATAACACTGGCAAAAAAAAAAAAAAATGGTTTATTTGAACAACGAAATTTCAGGTCATGATAGAACAAGTAAAGACAAAAAAATATGCAAATGATGTGTATGAACAAATTGATGGTGCTACTGACCTAGCACATCCTGAAATACGATTGTTCGAAGGCTATCATTACTGATTTCTGCTGTTGATATGTTGCTATCGAATTTGATGAATGAATATTTCTTGTAATGATAATTGTTAGATTTCGGATAAAATCGATTCATAGCTAATCATTTCTAATATTCATTTCCTGTGCCGAAGATTTTCAAAAAAAAGAAAATTTCCAAATATCTGAAAAATTTGTTTCCATATTAGAAAAAAAGTCACAGTAAATTGCCTTTATGGATGCATGGAAAAATGATAACTGCATTTTGGATTCTAAAGAAGTTATTAGCCAGTAGGTTAGATAAAATCATTTCACAGTTTTAACTGAACTTACTATGAATCAGATCGAAATTTATGAATCGAAATTGGAAGTAGTATATCTGAGAAGAGAAGGCATATGTATATATTTGAGTGTGACAGTTTCCAAACAAATATCGAAGTTAATTCTGATGACAATGAGTAATGGGACAACCTAATCGAAGATGTACTATAGAAGTTGTAGGATGGTAAGATAGGTGACGGAATGTTAATTCATCCTTTGCTTGCTTCCAAGAAAAAAAAGCATTAAGAGCGAGTGAGGAGGACGACTATGGCAAGGAGATTCGAGGAAATTTCAAAAAAGTATCGGAAGTATCGATTATAGTCATCTAACTCCACTCTTTTGTTTGATTCATTTGAAATAATAAGCTTTCATTATTGGCAAAACGAAAAATAGAGGTGGTCGTATTGATGTAAGGCAATTTATGATCATTTCCCCCATTTTTGCATTAGTTCTTCCTCTGTTGTTACTCTCAGAATACCATGTAAGTTATTAACAATTTCAATCCCATCGATAGCTTTAATAAATGATTAGTTAAACTAAACGGCTAACATCCCAAGCCATTACAGGAAGATTTGATGTTCAACCATGTCTGCATTTTAGTTACACCACCAACAAGAAAGTTAATTATACTGGATATTCGGAAAATTCCGACGCTCCGGCAATTTTCGCAAATTAAAATTTACCCTTCCCATTAGATAATTTCATAAGGTAATCCAGCAATGGCTTGCTTATCTCATTGCTATGACAATTTTTGCGGTTTTAACTGCATCATTTTTATATTTAGAGGAGAAGTTAAAGGTATACAATCCCAATGTCAATATATTAATAGAACTAATGTTCTTAATCTTCCGTTTTTCAACTTTTGCTTAATTTTTGTTCTACCAGAAATAACAATAATTTCGCCCCTTTTCAAAATGTTTTTTTTAAAGCTAGTAGTAAAATTTCAGGTATCTGAACGTGATTGTCTATAACAAAACACGAAACTTTGTCGGGCAAACAATTGAAATAAATATTTCGGCAATGGATACCATCAAAACATTGAAGGAGAAGATAATGGAAAAAACGGATATCCCAATCGGAATACAGGATATTATATTCGGAGGTATCGTAGCAATTCATAAATTTCCAAACAACTTTACCAAAATCAACTACAGACGTGAGAGAATGCTGCATAAAATATATTTACAGTCCAAAGCCTGGGCGATGCACAAACAATCAAAAACCACCATATCGAAGATGGATACACCGTATATTCTACGCCGAGTTATGTTGAAATACCACAGCAGCCATCACTTTAACAACGCTTATCAGTTGCATTTTTACTTTTCATGCTAAATGCAGATAATAAACACATTTTTTCGTTTTCGCTGTCACTACAAAACACAAGAAATTCATTGTTGATTGATAGGGTATCATTACAATAAAATCAATACAATGGAACTAAAATTTCAAAAAAGAAAACACACAATAGTAGTTTTAAAGACACAATCG